ATAACAATGCGTTAGATAAGTCTTCGTTTGGGATCGCTTTCTTACTGCTTCTTAAAACAACTTCCTTTGATAAAAATTTTAATTTTTAAACTAAAAAGTTATTTTTAGAAGCAATAAAAAAACCGTCCCAAACAAAGCCTAAAGCTCTAGCTTCCTCAAAATTTCAACATTGGTCAGATTTGCAAAGGATGAAAGGTCTTGATGTTTTGTATGAAAGGTATTCAGTTCTTTTATCTGTTATTCTTTCTCCTTGGGTTTCCATTTCATTTGTGTGGATCTCTCAATTTCCACGGGAGGGCTCCAAGATTATGGAACGAGAATAAATATGGACTAATTATTATAAGATGTGAGAGAATTAAAGGTGGGACTGAAAGAGGAAATAAAAATGCAGAAGCTATACCTGATTTTGCAATTACCTATGATCTTGCATTAGTAAACACATATTTCAACAAATAACCCACAATTACTTACAAAGTGGAACCGCAAAATAACAAATTAGCTTCTTTTGCTAAGAGGGAAAATACTTTTCCATAAAGATTGTAAGATGATACCTAGAAAGAGTTTAATCACACTCCATAAAACAGTATTTATGGGTGTATTTCTTAAAAGAATAAAAAAATAAAATAAATAATTACTTTAGGATAAGTTATGAAGCACAAACACTGACACAGACACAGACACGGGCACGATGACATAGAATAACGATAAAAAGCAGGATACAATATGTCAAACAATGATTCTCAAACAACTTTCAAACCAGTGGAAATCAAACTCGGAGTATTCAATGAAGTTGTAAAGAACATCTCCAGGAGACCAAAGAGCCCAAGATTAAAGGATTTCACTATATGGATCAGAGCATTTTCCCAAAATAAGCCAAAAACTTCTCTCTAAAAGTGCTTTCTCAAAAAGTGTTTTTCAATAAAATCAAACACTTCCCCACTCTTTATCTGAGTGTGAGGAAATTGTGTTTCAATTTCATTAAATTTGGGTGAGTATTTAAGAAGTAATGAGCATTTAAAGTTATAGTTCAAAATCTTAGTGCATTAAATAATTCCAAAAAATGCTCAGAACTTCAAAAATTCATCATAAATCCATTTCTCATCAAAATTTGGTGCTGTTGGGCTTATTGCAACTGTATTTAACTCAATTTTATTTTAAAATTAATTTCAAATAATTTTGATCAATGCTTACTGAGTAATTTATGTTTGATTGAAAAATTAAATTTCTTTAATTACTCCCTAACCAGTTGTCTAATTGAGCTCAAATTTGGACATGCTGAACTTGGGTATATATTTTATATTCCATAATTTTTCCAACCTCTGATGATTAGGGAATTTTAGTTAATTGAATTTTCAAAGTTCTGGGTTACATTTTAACTCAAAACTTTAGAAATTTATAACTCTTCATCAAAATAGAATTATTCTTGATTTTTTTGTGGTTTGTGCACATTAGTGTAAGGGTTAGAATACATGTGATTTCACCCACAATCCAAACAGTAGAGAGCTCAAATTAAATCCCCATATATATATATACCTCTTGAGATCAACTTTGAAACCTAGAAAGATCTTGATGGCATCAAATTTGGTAGTTTTGAAGCACGTATTATATAGAACATATGTTTAAAATTCACTAGATTTGAAGTTCATTTTGTCTGTCAATTAGTGAGTGGTACTTTTGTATCACACAACAAGCACAATGCATTCCTCCACTGCAACCATCCAACTTAAATTCTACTAATAATATCCCCATCAATTTCACCTTCACTCTAAACAATAGACCAAAGATACTAAAACGTGTACTCGTACTAATGACTTGATCGCGCAAAATTAGAAACCCTCCGCTAGATCTATTACTACTAAAATTACATTCCCTATATTTGGTTTTAGATCTACTCAAACCAAAACTTTTAAACTCTAAGATTGACCTCCATAATTCAAGTTTACCTTTAACTCCCTCTTTAGCCTTATCAGCAAAAAGAATATCGTCAGCAAAAAACATACACTAGGGAACATCCTCTTGCAAATCTCTAGTAAGAACATCCATGATTAAAGAAAAAAGATACGGGCTTAAGGCCGATCCTTAATGTAATCCAACTGAAATTGGAAAATACTTGGTCAAACCACCTTGTGTTTGAACACAAGTAACAGCTCTAGCATATATATCCCTAATGACTTTAATATACCATTATTAACCCCTTTCTTTTTTAGAACTCTCCATGGCATGTCTCTAGGAACTTTATTATATGCTTTCTCTAAATCAATAAATATCATATGAAGATCCTCCATATTCTCTCTATACTTCTTGGGGCCAGAGAAAGCATCGAAGAGATGCAGCTCTTCATTTTTTTCTTTTATTCATTCATTCATTTTTTTTATATTTTTTTATAGGTCAACAAGTAGACCTACCCGGCATGAATCCAAATTGATTTTAAGAAACATTAGTATCACGTCGTAACCTATGCTCCAAAACCAAGTATGACACATCAACTTAATTCCCCCATAATTCACACAATCTTGTGCATCTCCATTATTTTTAAAGATAGGAATCAACACACTCATTTTTCACACATCTATCATATTTTAAGTATTCAAAATAATATTACAAAGTATAGCAAGACAAGAAATTCCTTCATCTCCTAAGTATTTTCACACCTCTATTGGAATATCATCAGGTTCAATAGTTTTCCCATACTTCATTTTCTATAAAGCTTCTCTAACTTTAGTGTTAGTAATACGCTGATAAAAAAAAATTATTTTCATTTAGAGTGCTAAGGTCACTAAAGTCGATCGTATTTTCACAATCTTTATTGAAAAGCAAAACAAAATATCTCATCCACATTTGTTGAATATCTTCTTATAAAAAAAGTATTTTTTATCTTCATCCTTAATGTACTTCACTTAAACTAAATCCTTACTACTCATATCTCTTTGTGCGGCTATATCGCCCTCTTCAGTATATGATCTATTGTATAAATTATTAAAAGCTAAAGTCTTTGCATCGCATATTGCTTTCTTAGACTCCTAACATGCAACTTTATATCTTTACCAATTTTCAATGTTTTTACATCTAAATAAATTTTTATAATAGAGTTTCTTATTTTTTATCTTTTATTGTACATTTTGATTCCACCACCAACTATTTTTACTATTAGAAGATTTTCCTTTTGATACTCCAAGCATACCATTTGCAATATTCTTAATATTACAAGCTACTATTTCTACATAACATTAGCTTCCTGATGTATCGACAAAATCTTAAGATCGTGAATCTTACTCTCAAAGATATTTTTTGTAAGAGTTCTTTAAATACTACCATCTAATCCTAGAACAATAATATACTATATTTTTTATATTATGCCTCTTCATCTTAAAATCAAAAACTAATAAACGATCTTGGGTACACAGACATTCACTCGGAATAAATTTACAATCTTTGCAATCTAAACGATATATTTTTCTTACAAGAAATAATCAATCTAAGTTTTAATATATCTATTCTTATAAGTGATGAGATGCTCATCTCTTTTCTTAAATAAAGTATTAGCAATTACAAAATTATAAGCTAATGCAAAATCTAATATAGTCTTGCCACCTTAATTAGTCGCTCCAAATCCATATCCACCATAAATACTTTTAAAATCCTCAATCTCTCTACTAACATGTATATTTAAATCTCCCTCAATAAAAACTCTTTCTTCAAGAGGTATCTTTTGTATTAATTCTTGTAAATCCTTACAAAATTTTAATTTTAAACATATATTTAAACCTACATGAAGATTATAAGCGCTTATTATATTAATAAATTTATGATCAACAATAATCTGCAAAACTATAATTTTTCTCCAATTCTATCAATTTTTACAACATTCTCTTTCAAACTCTTATCTATAATCACACCTACACTATTTCTAATACGACACCTACCAGAATACTGAAGTTTAAACCATAAACTATCAATCTTCTTAGCATTCTCTCCCACCCATTTAGCTTCCTGAATACATAGAATATTTATCTTCCTATAAATCATAATATCAATAAATTCCATTAATTTGCTTGTGAGATAACCTACATTCAAAGATCCTAACCTAAGTTTTGTTTTATGGACTAGCTTCTTTGCCCACATCCCTCAATGATGTGAGAATCATTGCCTATTTAACACTGCATACGGGCGTCGATGCAACAGCTCTTACACACTTCTAACTGTATTTAGGCCATACAATGCGTCATTTTCAAATAACGCCATAGCATTAACATAATATATTAAAATGATTTATGTCATGATTATTCAATAAATTTTACATTAGTTGTCAACTATCTAACAAAACCTTTCACTTTTCTCATTCAAGACTTGAGACCTAACAATGGTAGTGTTAGAACTAAGAGCTTAACAAATGAAAATTAAAAGCTTCTTCAAATTCAATCAAAATTAAAAGTAATTAAAGAAATCAAGAAAAATCATTAAATAATTAAAATAAATAATTAGAAAACAATAAAAAATCTAAAACATTTTTAAGCACTAGTAATCATCCCTAGGAGTCAATGACATTTGGGGAAAGATTTTAAAATGTTTGGAATTGATTCAGTACAAAAATAAGAGATCTCCTCTAATTAAACAATTACGTAATTCATTAGAATGATCAAACTTATAAAAATCACAACTAATTATAGAAAAATCTAAATCACTCAAACTCAAAGTCATTAAACTCAATGGATCTAGTATTTATGAAAATTATAAAATCTTCAAAAATTATTGCAAATAAAAAAATCAACATTTGGTCAAATTTAATTCATTAAAATATGCTGAACTTATAAAAATCATAACTAATTGTAGAAAATTACAAATGATGCAAACTCAAAGACATTAGATTCAGCTCTGGGTCAAGTATTTTTAAAAAATAAGAAACTTTCAAAATTCAAAGTAAATTAGAAAGTCAAAATCTAGCCAATTTTAATGAATTAAATAATTAATAAATCATCAAAAACTCAACAAATCAAATCAAATGAATAATAATCACACTTTATACTTGGTCAATAAAGTTTTAAGGCTAAAATACCTGGAGCTGCAGGACTACGTGTCCTAAGAAGACATTGGTCCTTGTGCCTGATGTGACAACGTCATGAATGAGTTGATGGAAGGTAAGTGTTAAATTATAAATATTATAAATCAGCAATAAATAAATAAATTCATTAAAATTCACCAACCAACAATGAAACTTAAAATAAATAGGTGGTTGTTGGATAACCCGGGCTCATAAAGCTATTAGCTTAGCCCAATGAGGGTGAAATAAATCTCATAACCGTGATGTAAACAAAGACAAGTGCTATTCAACTTAAATAACCATTAAATTCAGCAATAAAATACTTAGAAAATTGAGACTTTCATACACCATGCTCGACTCATTTTGAAAAGACAATTGTGTATTGGATTGAAATCTCTAAATGGCTAATCAAAATACCTTAAATAACCAATCAACAATTGAAATATATCCTAAAATAAATCTCAAAATATCAAAAATACTAAAACTTAGACTTAAACTATGATTCCCTTACCATTCAATAAACAAAATTCAACTTTTAAAAAATTTCAAATAATAACAAACATAAGATATATCCAAGCCACATAGCCTCATACATCCTATAAATTGCTTGCTAGGACAACAAACTCTAGTCTTAGATTATGTCGTTGTTCTTTTACATGTGCTTTTCTCTGTGATGTGAATTTGTATGTGAACGAGTGCTGGTTGTTATGATTTGATGTGATGAATTTTGTTATGCTTATGCTATGATATTTATACTAGAACGTTTATGATGTGATTTATGATAGGCGTCTAGATTTCCCTAGATTAGGAACAATCTGGATGTTTATGGCTAATCAAAACTTTCGCAGACGGTCATAATTATGCATGGCTATAAAAAAGGTTAACTAAAATTAATCATGATTTAAAAAAAATCAAATTTCCTAAATATGCTTTTGCTGCTTAGCCCCCTAATCATTAAAAGCATAACCAAGCTATAGGTTGCCCAAAAATGAGCAAAGTAATTGTGTTATGATTGTGTCTTTTGAATATTCATATATTAAAATGCTTCACTAATATGCAGAGAGTTTTAATCTTTTTTTATTTTTCAATTATGTAATTCAGTGAAAGTAAAGATTTGTGAAGTTTTGGAATAAAGCATTTTTTTCAAATGATTAGAGATCTAAAGAGAAAAGAACATTTTAATTGAAGAGTTCTTTCCATTTAGATATTTAATTGGATAAACACATAAGAAAGAAGGGAACAAAAAGAAGACGATCTAGGAAGAACAAAGAAAATAACCAAGTTAAAAAAGAAAAAATTAAAGTGTTTTATTTCAATATTTGCGTCATTCTATAGGTGTAGAATCCATGTTATTGTTGGTGGAGCCTAGTCACATGTAGTTTCAGCAGATCCTATGTTATAATTAAGTGGTATTTGCCACATGGGCTTTTCATATTTATTTTCTTTTAAATTGATGTGTTTACATTATTTGCGCGGTAGAAATTGCATGTCTTTCATAGGTTTCTTTCTTGTATGTGCTTGGGCTTGAATTTGCTAGTCTCTTTGGAATGAAAAATTTTGTACTCATAATTTAAAAATAAAATTCTAGGGATAAATAACATAGAAAGATAATCATTCTAAGAAAGTAAACTGGAGACCGTCCGGGGTCGCATGTATATTTTTCATGCTTCTATCTTTGTTTTACACACTTCCCGACCCAATGGTACAATTCAGATAATCTAACTTATAAGGATGAAATGCTTAAACTGGGGAAACAGTCATCTAAAAAATTATTTTAACCATTTTTTAAAAATTTCAAGCATTCCTAATTTGTGGTACTTCAACTAACACGCATTGTATTAGAAACAAAGTAAAATTAAAATTTAATTGCATCCATTCTAGAAGCATACTGTCATTCATAAGTACAGGATCATTTAGGATCTTCTCTAGACGTCTGCCTAAAATTCTAAAAATTTAAATAACAACATACCCATCTTTAATAAAGATAGGACAGCATAATTTAAGATGATTAGGTGGCTTAGCTGGCTTTACACTCTAGGTAAATGTAAGTCTAGAAATTCATACACTACACATAGACTAGGTTTGGGTTGCTACTACGAAGTACCCAGCTTAGAACTTTAAGCTCTGAAGCAGACCTCAAATCATAAGTCCTCACTCTCAGCAAATGTAATCCCAAATATTTAATAAAATAACAACTCAAATATAGAATCTTATTTCTAAAATATTAAAGCCAAAGATAGAATAGATTGGAGTGTTTCTAGGAGTTAAAAGAATCTTAAAGTCTCCATACTCTTCAATCATTTGAAATTCAAAAAGACATTCCAAATTGATCCAATATCTTTTAAAAAATTCTTCACCTCTCATCTTTGTTTTAATCGCTAAAATTTAAAGAAAATGTTTGCCAAAACTTTAATCGAAAGTATTCTTAGAAATTTTATTTTTTTCGAAATGTGATTAACCATAAGGGCTTGTCTTTATGGGAAACATGTAACCCATATTAAAATAAACTCTATCTTATTCTCATAAGATGGGAGAAATATCTCTAGGAACGTAGAAGGTTTCATAAAAACTCGTTTTTTTCATTCAAATTGCTTTGTAGAATATCAGTTTCACCATCTGAGGCAATATGATATTATCGTTGTTATATTTGATAACATAAATGAAGAATTTTCAAACCCCTCTTTCATCCTTGCATACTATTTTAGAATGACATTTATGTCTTTCCAGACAGTATGTTATTCTTATATTTATATTTGTCTATAAAAGTGGTTGATTTCTAAAAACCTATTTTCGTATCAAAATCCATTGTAGAAAATCGTTCCTATCTTTAGAGATAGTACACAATTCTCAATGTCGTATTCGATCACGATAATAGAAGCAACCCGAATCTACGAGGATTTTAAACTAAAATTTTATTTTTCCCACACCATCACAACCTTAAAAGTTCAAGCAGAAATCGAAGCAATAGCCTAAGTCAAACTACTAATTGAAATTGAATGTCACTATCACGTGCCTCGCTTGCATGTTGTAGTTTGTTGACTTATAAAAAAAAATATAAAAAAATGAATGAATGAATAAAAGAAAAAAATGAAGAGCTGCATCTCTTCGATGCTTTCTCCGGCCCCACCTCGGCATCTCGGCAAGAGAGGCGATTCTTGACGTCGATAACTGCTTTTCGGTTAAGCAGTCAATAAAAATACAGAAAATTGGGGAAAGAGGGGGATGCTTTCTAATTCTTTGAAATGGCTCTCTGCCGCCTCTTGCATGAAACCACACATAAGAACAATTCTCTGCCTCAAAAACAGAAAAATGGTTTTCATCTAATGCCCTAAACTCCACACGTTGGTCGGTGACACCGCCTCCAATTGCGAACTCGCCGTTGATCACGACCCTGTATCCAATTGCAAAAACCATTTTTCTTGTCCAAAGGTGAAATCCTGCTGCCTCTCACGCCCGAGCCGATTATCTTCTTCCTTACTTGAGAAGCTATTATCGTCGAGTTTGCTTGTGCCTTTGTTTGGCACAGTCAAATCCCCACACGCCGGCCAACCTCTGCACTTCTTCTTCCGCTTCAAATATGACGTCGAATCCTTCGCCTTCTCTGAATTTCGCTCAAACAACTCCAGCCAACGCGTCAAACCACGATATCCCTATTCTTCAAGTGTTTTTTGTCTTTTTCCAATATAAAATGTCCCTCTTATACATATAATTAAACATCCAACTTAACTATTGCATGCCTATTCCTAGTCAAATACCAAATATATATCCTTCTGTATGCAATTATTAATATTCCATTTCTCTGAGCCGTGACAGTGCTTCCATCATTGCCTGCAACTTTCAATTTCCAATAACTTAAAGATAAAATAAAAGTTTGTTTAGTTATGATAAAGCATTCATTTTATATCATTTTTAATGATGTTATTTAAATCTATTTTTTAAATAGATTTTAAATCATAATTTCATAAGTCCGATATTTATAAATCTAATTTCAAATCAGATTTTTATAAATTGAATTAGTGTTTTTTTTTTAAATCAGATTTCATAAATCAGACCAAAAAAAAAGTCATCAAAAGAAGGCCTCCTATCGTCGATTTTAAATCTGATCGGAAAAAATTTAAATTGAAGACCATACGCCGTCGATCTTTGATCCGGGTATGATGGATATAAATTTTGAAGACCATATGCCGTCGATCTTTGATCCGGATATGATGATTTTAAATTTTGAAGACCATACGCCGTCGATCTTTGATCCGGGTATGATGGATATAAATTTTGAAGACCATATGCCGTCGATCTTTGATCCGGATATGATGATTTTAAATTTTGAAGACCATACGCCGTCGATCTTTGATCCGGGTATGATGG